TCAGCTGTTTTGGGTGCCGTCTCATTCTGACGGCACCCATTTGCTCCAAACCTCTGTGACTTTCTTCTGTGGAACAAAATAGTAAATATTTTGAGAAATATCTTGCCGTATTTTTTTGTCTGTACAATGGAAGTCAATGGTCACCAAAGTGATTTAACATTCTTCTAAACATATTTTATAGACTGATACTGAGCTTTCTCAAACTTTAGTTCACTCAAGACTGCAAGGTCCTGGAGGGGCAGTCAGTTTTCGGTTTTATTATTTCTGTAATTATAATCTTGCGTCTAATAATGTAAACATTTTCCAGCCCGAATGACTTGCCTTCTTCTGTGAAACCCAAAAGGAGAATCTTTTAAGAACTTCACAGTTGCTCTTTTCTAAATAATGACAGTGTATTTCACTTATTTTCTTTTTACATTTACATTTACATTTAGTCATTTAGCAGTCTCGGTTAGCCTAACGCAGTACACGTAGCAAGGTATTTACATATATATATACACACACACACACACACACACACAAAGAAAAACAAGTAGACAGAATAGAAAAAATAGAAAGCTAGTATTATCTTTGAGATGGCACAATAATGCGTCGTTCACTTGCAGAACGCAAGATTCTAGAGGCACATAACTCTGAAGTTATGAATTTAGATATGCCATTTTCCAATAGGGTTGACAGGAGAATCTGGTGGTTCACCGTATCAAAAGCAGTGGACAGAAGCAAAAATACAGGTTTGCATTGAGACACGAGCGAGTAAACAATGGCAGAATTTTGGGTTTTGGGTGATCTGTCCCTTTAAACATGACCTAAGACCTATTAATCATTGTATAATAAGACATTCGTTTTACAAGCTTTCAGAAATGTTATGTTTAAATATGCAAATGCAACATTATCTAATTCAATATGCACTCATTTTCATACATTTCCAGAACAGAAATCTGAACATTGGATACATTCACATATTAAAGTTAAAGTTTTTTTCCAGAGGGGATGTTGGATTTATTTTTTCATCACGCTAGAAAAACAATACTTTTTCACCATGTTTTTAGGAATATAATGTTCAATATAAATCAGTGTTAACGGTGTTAACATTGTTAACAAATCCCTCAGTAAAAGCTTTCAGAATATAAATAGGAATAAAACTGTAAAGTTTGCTGTAAGTAAGAGAAAAAACTAAAGACATGGATTGGAATTGAAATAGATAAAGTGCAATACAATAAACACTTAAATGTGTATTTTGGATGTTTTCTTTCTGCTAGTCTGAAAGAAGACATGTTATGAAAACAAAATAGAGCAAAATCTCAAAATTGAGTACTTTTTGCATGTAGTGTCTTAATGCATCAGACCAAAGAAGCGTGTAAGGAAAGAAACCCTTCACATCTCTGGCAGTATTGTAAGAACTTGTGACCTAAAAAGAATTTGCTCTAATTTGAAGCTCATGAAATCTAATGCAAAACTTGAAAATCCATTTGTGTCCAGTTCACTGGCTTGGAAGTTGACTGGATTAAATTTCAGTTTTATAGGATAATAATGAGTTAAAGACTTTTTGCAGGCATATCGCTCCTTGGGGCCCTGCTTGGACTCTGCTTGTCTAAAGGGCAGCGAGGATGGACGTGCAGGCAGATGAATGGAGCTTGGACTGGGCTTATTTGTGTTTAATGTGCCATAAGGGGCTGAGGTAATTAGCTGTAGGTCAGGTAGTAAAACAGGTGCAGATGAATGAACATCGTGCAGCTCATGTAAATGAGAGCGCATGACTGCGGCTAGTCTTGACTGTCTGAATATTTTAGGCCAATATGATTGTAGTTGGTCGAGATCTGCTATATTCACTTGGTTTTAGATGTCATTGATGGCATGGAAAGTTAAAACAGCTACAATGGCGATGTGCAATACATTGATAAATAAAAGGGCTGTCCAGTGATGAAAATTTTTAATCTAATTAATTACATGACGTGCCGATTAATTAACCAAATTAATCGCAAGTTAACTGCACATCAATTTTGGCTGAGAAATTACCACCAAAAGATAATTTAAAGACATTGTTGTGTTAGACGAGAAAAGCATTGAATAGACACAACACAAAGTAGCTTTGGAAAGAAATATTCTGTTTTAGCATTGCATAAATAATGATAATAAATGGTTATTAACCTTTTTAAAATAATAGTGAAATTTGAAATTTTTTTTTTTTTTTAATTAAATTATACTCTCATTTTGAAAGTAAATGAGTGAGTCATTGAATAATTTATTCAACCGATTCATTCAAATGAATTGGAAATTGGAAATGAAGCAAGTGACTATCAGCAAGTGAGTTACTGAATCATTGACTCCCTTGATTCATTCAAAACTACAGATTAATTTAGTAATGAAACACAGCTGCGTGTTGCTCAGAGACTCACAACGGTTTTTCATTGTCCTGCATCATGTTCGTCAGCAACTGCGTCAATGTAAGATGACTTACAGGTCTGGGCAGGGCGGGTGAATTATTTTGTCCATAATTAATCGCAATAAATAAATACCAAGATAGTAATCATGCTTTTGCCCTGAATCAGGTACACCGTACACTGATTTGCTTCATAGGGATCTAGGGAGTGGAATGAGACACATCCAGAGATATTATACAGCTTTTTTAAAATTTTATTTGCATATATTCTTCCAGCATCCAAGCTATTAAATTGTGCTGTGCTTCATCCTTTATTTAAAATCAAGACATTAATAAACATATTATAAAACAGACTCCCTCTTAGCAGTTTGATATCAATCATTAGAATTTGTTTAAAAGGCATGACTAATTAAAAAGGATATTTAAATAGGATTGAATTTTAATGGTGTTCTCCCTGTTACCTTTGTGTGGGGTTAACATGAGAGGAGAGGAGATTAGATATTCTCACACTAATTATGAGCGGTGTTCCCCAGGGGCGGGTAATTGGGCCGCTTGCGTTCTCATTGATCCCCTGCAGATCAGCGGCATCCGAGTGCAGCTTGCTGCTGAAAATACGCAGTCTAAAGTTCAGCTTTCCCTCAGGGCTTGTGGTTTGGGCCCTTGACCTCTGAGGTTAGGCGGGAAGAACAAGTCTTTCACCACACGGCGGTTCTCTCTAGCGGTAGGCGCCAATCATGAGAGGCAGGGAAAATATGGGTTTGTGTTATGTTGGGTTGTTGTGGTTTGTAGTGAGGAATGGTAAGAGTTTAACCCCTTGGTAGACTGGAGATGTCTGTACTAGCTTTTGTAGTATTTTGCAGGGGTTGGCTGTTTATGGCACTTTCCACAAATAGGGTACAGATTGATGTTACAGTATATTTTTAAAACCAATAAAGGTATGAATCCTCTGTTCTGTTGCAGCGTTTCCCAATCTAATTTGTGAGGGAACTGTGAGGAGTTTGTGAGCTGATGAAATGCTATTAATTCATTAAATCATAAAAATTAAAATACATAAATATAAAATCAAATCAAAGTAAAATACTTGCATTTTTTTTAAATTTTATTTTATCTGGAGCTCTTTCCTAATGTTACCCCATGTCTATACTGGACGCGAGCGGTGCAACGCGACTAAAGACAGCAGAACCCATTATAATCAGTGATTATAACACTGGATGGATTAACACGACAAATCATTTTATTTCTGACATACTCCAAGCATTCGAGCTGCTTCTGACCTGAAAGATAAATGGTTCGGCTGACAAAACCCCAAAAGAATCCCTGATCTACTGAATTTATTTTCATTTGAAGAAAGAGGAGATTTATGTACAGAAGTAATAAAAGCAGCTAGACAGTGATTTTTAATGATAAATGGTGATTGTTGACCGCCTTGACTGTATCAGATATTAAATATCACACAGTGTCATCATTTTGTAGAATAGATAGTCAGTTCATTGTACTAAATATTTTAATGAACAAAAAAAAGTAGTCTTCAGCTGTGGCCCACATTTTGCATGCAGCCCTGTTGACTGTATGATGGACCCATATTCAAACAGTAGCTTTCCATCAAATACTGACAATATACAAAATAGATTCGTATAGTATGGAAGGTTGGATTAATTCTTTTTTCCTGATTTTTACACTAATTGTGGACAGCATTCGTTGAGTTCAGTTCAAACAGTGTACTTTATTACTAATGTCTTAGTATCTTTATGCCTTATAGTCGCATTTAGCAGATTACAGCTAATAACAAACAAACATTTTATTTCACCTAGCCTGTGTGTTTTTTTCATTGATGCACTAAAATAACTAAAACTAAAACTGAAATAAAATGTATGAAAAGTATATGGACATAAAAAAAACAACAACAACAACAACAAAATACTTTCAAATGAAAATGAAAAAATATATATAATAAAAGTAATTAAATACTTAATTAGATACTAAATAACCCTGGTTTACATTTTGCGTTTTTTGACAATATAATCATGCAGCCAGATTTGATATATAGTATATATTGCTTTACATTAATTTACTGTATGTGTTTTTCTTTAAGTGGTGGGACATTTAAGTTTATCAGAAACGTAAAAAATTAGCTTTTAGCCTTTTTTTTTTTGGTATATTTATTTTTTCTATACTTTTGCTAAAAAGTCACACAAATAAAGTTTTTTTTTTTACTGTATTTAATCATTTCACAAAATTTTGGTACTACATACTACATTTTGCTGACTGCAGATGTTTAAAATAAACCGTCTGATATAACCTTAAGTCTGGCCGTCGTTTGCTTGAGGTTGGAGATGATTTTCTGAAGGATCTGCAGCTTCTTCTAGTGATCATTGGTTGAAAAAGAGCACAACATGGTAGGAAAGCGTATTGCCGTACTCATGGAAAGTTCCTCATGTGTTTGAGTTTGAGTGGATGCTCTGCGTTTGATTATGTTTGTTTGTTGGTTATGTCTGTGTGTTGTTGATATTGGCAGCATGATTTGATTCCCGTGTTGTGCCAGGAGGGCGGCGCTCAGCGGAGCTGTGGTTTCTGTCTCTGTCTCTGTCGCTGATCAGCTCTTGTGTTGTGTGTCTGGCAGGCCTGGATCCAGACAGGCATTTAGGAAAGTCCCTGGCGGAGATGGAAGCGTATCTGCACGAGGTCAGAGGCGCACCAACACTTCTGTCAGAAAGTAAACCACCTTCAGCTGCTTCTGCTTCAGCTTTCAGCTCAAGTGTTTCATTATGACAAGCTGTTTTGACATTTCTTATGAATCATCATTATAATGTTCTTTTAGATTTAGTCCATTATTGAAATCAAATGAAATCTTTCATTCGTAAAGGACTTTTTTTTGTTGCAAATTGACATTAAAATCATTCTAATATGCTGATTTGCTGCTCAAGAAACATTTCTGATTATTATCAATGTTGAAAACAGTCGTGCTGCACAATATTTTTGTGGAAAACGTGATGCATTTTATTTTTCAGGATTCACAGATGAATAGAAAGTTCAGAAGAACAGCATTTATTTGAAATATAAATATTTTGTAACATTATAAATGTCTTTACTGACACTTTTGATCAGTTTAATGCATCCTTGATGAATAAAAGTATTAATTTCATTTTTTTTTTCTTGCTGACCCCAAGTTTTGAATGATAGTTCCCACAAAAACTGTTTTCAACATTGATAATAATCAGAAATGTTTCTTGAGCAGCAAATCAGCATATTAGAATGATTTCTGAAGATCATGTGACACTGAAGACTGGAGTAATGATGCTGAAAATACAGCTGCGCATCACAGAAATACATTACAGTTTAACAGAGATTCACATAGAAAACAGCTGTTTTAAACTGTAATAATATTTCACAATTTTTACTGTATTTTAGTCTTGGTGAGCAGAAGACACTTCTCGCAAAAAACATTAGCTAATTTATTTTTAAACTTTTGACTAGTAGCGTATATAAACATTTGCTATTAATGTCCAGCCAAAAATATCTGCACTATATAATTAATAATAAAAACTATAATGTTCCTGTAATTTGAATTTGTAGTGATCATAAATCTGGTTAATGGCAGCTTTCAGATAAGTATGGAGTTCATATCTGTGGAGAAAGAAGCGAGTATGAGACCTTCACTGTTGACTGCCCGCTCTTCAAGAAGAAGATCGTCATGTAAGTGACAAACTCGCTCAGAGAGGGAATGACGGCTACGTTCATGTGTGTGTGTGTGTGTGTGTGTGTGTGTGTGTGTCAACAGAAATAATGCAGACAGAAGTGATAGTTGTGGAGGAGAAGCGCCGAAGTGTCCTGCTTTGTGTTTCAGTGACTCGATGGAGACGATCATCCACTCGGCCGATGCCTTCGCTCCTGTTGGATACCTGCGCTTCACACGCATGCACACAGAGGACAAGAGAGAAGTATGACTCAGCGTAAACACTTCTACACATTTATCATTTCATTGCTGATGTCAGAACGAGTGGCTTTTTGCTGTATAGTTTGGGTAAATGCTCTTTTTGTGCTGAAGATGTGTGGGGACCAAACCTGCTGAATTATTTATGAATGAATGAATGCATAAATAGAAAAACAAATAAAGGAATGAATTACTTGATAAAACAAATACAACATTTTTTTTTAATTAAGTTTAGTCCTAAACTTATTTGTGTATTACTTTCCCCCCTTTATTTATTTTATTTCTTTATTTATTTTTTTACTGTATTTTTTATTCTTTTATTTATTAATTTTCATATTTAACATTTGAATGTGGCAATATTTAAATATGGAAATAAATACATGTTTGGAATAAATAAATATAAAAATAAATGAACACATATATAAATAATAAATATTTATTATTTATGAGCTTGAGTTTCTACTGCTCGTTAGTCTTCACAAAATGGATTGTTTGCAACAAACAATATACTTATTTTGTGTATATAAATGTTTTACGATCCATTTGCATTTATGCATTTGGCAGATGCTTTTATCCAAAGCAACATACACTGCATTCAAGTTCTGTACATATGTATCAGTTCATGCATTCCCTGGGAATCCAACCCTTCATATTGGTGTTACTAGCACCATACTCTAGTTTTTGAGGTAGTTTCCCAAACTTTCATCAGACGAACACCTTAGAAGTGAAATATTTACTTGAAATACCCTCTAAAATCTCAAGTTAATATTTCAGTAATTTAGCAACACAGTTACATGTTTATGGTTCTCTGACGTTGGTAATGGTCACATGACATGCAGTTAAACTAAAGAAACATCGAATCTTTTTTTTTTTTAGTAAATGTTTTTTTTGTTATTGTTTTTATTTTATTAAAGCCCCTAAAGGGACATGATGATGGAAAAATAGTTTCAATACTTTGCATTCTGTAACAAAACTTTTACGTTCCCCAGATAAACTTTGAGTTCGCTCACAAAACATTTGTGATGTAAATAATATGAGAAAAAACTACTTCAGTGGTTTTGTGAGTGAATGCAAAATATTGTTTAGAAATACAATACTTTTATGAGAGCATGCAAAAGCATTGAAAAATAATTTTTCCTCCTATCTCGTATTATTTTCCATCGACATGTCTTCTTAGGGCCTCTGTATCGCTTACTAAAAAACAATGCACAACTTTGGCCAAAAAATTACAGTGTATTTTGATCATTTTACCATATATTGCTAGTTAAACACATAGACTCTGACACTGCGTTTAAGGCTGTTCACACTTTTAATAAATGTCAACAAGCACTACAAGTAAAAATAAAGTAAAATTTGCATTTCCAAATGCATGTTAAACTCACAGCGCTTGCAGAGATGGAGTTTATGAGAAGCAGCGTTTATTGTGAAGTGAGCCGCTCTGAGGTGCTGAAAGCACGCTATTATCAGCTGCACGCGTGTTAAATGAACAAGATATACAAGATATATCACTATTTCACTTTTCACTCTTCGCTTAATTGTACATCCCTGTTTCTTTAAAACAATTATTTGGAAACCCTGCTCTACAAGAATGCATTGTTCTCAACATGTCTTCAGCAGCACATTTACTGCAGACTGCAGGGTACGTGACACACTCATTCACAGCCTCTCTGCCAGTCCTCTTCTCTTTTTGTCCCCTTACGTGGGCGACTTTGACGTCTGCAATATTCACCCGTGCCTGAAAGCAGGCCTGCCTTAACAAACATGTCCAGTCACATTATCCAGTTTGTGCTCAGGTACACTGGGCTGCAGTGATAGCGGGAGGAAGTCAAGGGAAGGTTATTTGTGTGGATCTGTGTGACTTTGTGTCGAAAGTTTCCTCTAAACACATATGTCACTGTTGCTTTGATGTCCTTAAGGAAGTGGGCGCTGTTCATGCTGATGCACTCGCATATTTCCCCTTCGTGCTCTGCATCTGTGTGTTTTCCACAGTTTGTCTCATGCATCAGAAACACAATAGCACATGTTATAATGCGGCATGAACCTGCTCTTGTCATTCGCAGATGTTCAGAAGCCCATATCCGCAGCATGATAAACAAATTAATGCTTTGCTAAATCATAATTATGACATTATGATCATTATGAGATAAAAAAAAGTCAAGATTATGAGGTACTAAGTCATAAATATGAGGAAAAAAGTCACAATTATGACAAAATATACAATTATGTCATAGTATTTAATAATTTAGACTTTTTATTTTATAATTATGACGTTTGAGATTATGATCTCATAATTATGGCTTAGTATCTCAATTTTGAATTTTGATCTCATAAATATAACTTAGTATCATCATTTCAACTTTATCTCATAATTATGGCGTAGTATCTCAATTTTGAATTTTTATCTCATAATCATGGCTTATCCCAAATATGAAATTTTATCTCATAATGACTTAACATCTCATAATTTGTCTTTGATCTCATAAAAATTACTTAGTATCATCATTTCAACTTTATCTCATAATTATGGCGTAGTATCTCAATTTTGAATTTTTATCTCATAATCATGGCTTATCCCAAATATGAATTTTTATCTCATAATGACTTAACATCTCATAATTTGTCTTTTGATCTCATAAATATAACTTAGTATCATCATTTCAACTTTATCTCATAATTATGGCTTAATATCCCAATTTTGCATTTTTATCTAATAATCATGGCTTATCTTAACATCTCATAATTTGTCTTTTGATATCAAAATATAACTTAGTATCATCATTTCAAATTTATCTCATAATTATGGCTTAGTATCTCAATTTTGAACTTAGTATCTCATAATTTCAACTTTATCTCATAATTATGCCAAAGTGTTCCTATATTTCTCCTCTTATGCTCTGACAAGCACCTCTGTGTGTTCATCAATGTTGTTGCATGCTGCAGGGATGCAGCAGAAATGTTCAACACAACGTGCATGTCATAATGCAGCATGTGAACTGCACTGATTGACCTTACAGTAGCCTTTATTCACAATATTAAAGCTATTATGTCAGTATTTACTAATTCCATATGTCTTTCATTACTGACAAGCTCCAACAAAAGACAAAAACAACACCATAAATGTATCATAACAGTAGTCTACATGTCTCATGCACTGTATTCCAAGTATTCTGGAGTCATGTGTTATTTTCATGTGAGGAACAGACTGAAATGTAAGATTGAAAAACTTAATTGTAAATGTTCGTTGAAGTGAATCAGACTGATGCACAGTTGCTGCTGAATGAGAAGACAGCAGCAGAATTATGTACTTTATAAAGTGCATTTGATTGTTATGATAACGTTGCATTGTGGGATCTGTCATGTGAAGTTTGAAGACGAGCTGTATGTGTGTTTTGGGTCACGCCGTGTCCACAGTCTCAGCTGCTGGCTCTGTGCAGTGGCGTGTTTGCTTCTGCGTGTGTTCTGCTGTGTGTTGGTGGAGGATCAGGGCTTTGAGGGCATTAAAACACATCGCCCAAGAAGGCAACTCCCGCAGCCATGCGGCCTTCAGCGCGCCCCGCCGTGTCCTCACCCCACAGCGCCCGCAGGTCAGCAGGAGCGCAGGGAAATTCCTGCCCCGCTCTGCTAGAGAAGCTCCCACACGCAGCAGTCGAAAGGACTCTCCGTCATGCTGACAGATCCGCGCTGACATCGGCTCTGGAGCCTGAATTAATGCTGTTCCTCCTCTGCACTTGCTGCACAGACACACTGGAGGATAATTAATTGAATTATCATACAGCCAACTGCAGATGACAGCAGGACATTAAAGCGATCTGAAATATTTATTAAAAATGTACCGTGTCTGGCGTGCTGCAATCAGGTGGTGTGTGAGCGGTTTAAATGGGGTCTTCTTGCTTATCACCACAAATGTTACCGTGAGAAAAACAAATAAGCAAGTGAATTCTTTGCCAAACCCGCTGAGCACAACCCCAATGACAACTGAAAAGAGAAATTCATAATTATGATATAAAAAGTAGTGTGTGTGATTATGATATATCAATTCATATTTCAAAAAATGTCTTTTTCATAATGTAGTATCTCATATTTTTTACTTTTTGTCTCATAATTATGAATACCGTGTCATAATTTGAACACAGGTATCTCAATAAATATGACTTGGTATCTCATAATTTTGACTTTTTACCTACTTTTTACCTAATGACTTAGTATCTTATAATTTTGACACATATTTCATAATATCACTTGACATCTCATAATTGTGACTTTTTATCTCATAATTATGTCTTAGTATAATTTTGACACTCATTTCATAATAATAACATAGTATCTCATAATTACAACTTCTTATCTCATAATTATGACTCGTTTCTCAGAATTGCAATCTCATAATTATGACTTGGCATCATAATTGAGTCTGTTTATCTCATAATTGTGTATGTCACAATTTTGTCACTTGCAGGTATCTCATAATTTTAGATTATTTTTTTAACCTCATTGACATCTCATAGTTATGACTTAGTATCTCATAAATTATGACTTTGCATCTCATGGTTTAGTATCTTATAATTTAGACTTTTTTTCCCCCCTGTTGCTAGAATATTTGTTTTGTACACTGTAATGTATTATAAGATAATAAATAGGTACAATTTTACAACGGTTTCTTCTCCAATCAATATTTATATGACCCCGTCATTATTTATGTACTGGAAAGTGATAACTATTATCTCATAATTATGACATAACTTTTTAAATCTCATCAGTTTTTACTTTTATCTCATAATTATTACGTAGTATCATCCCACTTATGTGATAATTATGAGTTCATGTTTTTTTCCGTATGTGGCAGGAATGGGCTTCCATAGTGACATGATCGTCATATTCATTTATTTTGTGGAGTATCCGCCTGCAGGTTCACTGATCAAGAGTGTGAGAGTCTGTGTGTTTTCAGGGGTGTTTGTGTGTGATTTATTCTCCTGCAGGGCTCCGGAGGGCGGCCTCTGCCTCTCAGTAGATGTCCTTGCCAGAACGCCATTGACAGCATGACAGAAGAGCTGGAATATGCTGATAAAACTCCAGACGTCCAGGGAGGATGTCCATCAAGCGCTGAGCGCAGTTGTCAGTCGGAGCCGGGTGAGATGTGTGTGTGTGTGTGAGTGTGTTCTGGTATAAAGCACATCATACTGTCTGCCTGCAGCATAACTATTACTTCACTGATATTCTTTCAAAACTATATTGGCTCATCGAACACCAAAACAAAAGAAGTATTGCACTACTATGGTGTTGTTGAGGGTAATGTCAGAAAGTGAATAGAGGAACCATAGAGCTGCAGTTTTTCAGCAGTGTTTCATGCACCCACCGTATAATTGTGCATCTTTAGAATAGCAAAATAAAAAGACAGACCAAAAGCGCTTGAGTTGTACGGAGCTCATTGACTCTTTTGGGAACGGTCCTGGATAATACCGTGTTTTTGGGCATGAACCATGTGTTTTGGATATTGCCATAGTTAATTCCATGGTGTTTATATGTTATATAGTATATGTCTGTATTATTTTAATCATTCAGCACCATGATATTGTCCAGGCCAGTGGTCCCTTTTGACTTCAGGGTCAATATTTGAAGGGCCTCTCTCTGTGACGGCTCTGGTTCATCTGCTGTAATGACAACTTACAAAAACTAGGAGTATCCATAAGTAAAATTAGCAGTGAAGAATTGTTAAATAATTTATTATTATTATTAAATAGTTATTATAATAATTATAATAATAATTGTTTCGTTTTTATTAAAAAATAATAATAATAAAATTTAAAGTTTCAGGATTCCGAATGCTGAATATTTTCCAGGGACAGCAGCACATTTTCATGACTTTTTTTTTTAGTGTCATTGAGATCCTATTATAGTTTTTATTAATATTTTGAATTAGTTTTTATTTTTGAATTTGCTATTTTTATTTTATTTGTAATTTTAAAGTGTTACTGATTTTGTTGTGTTTTGTCATTTTTCTTAGTTTTTGTTTTGTTTATGTATATACGGTTTTCATTGATTTTTTGTATTTCAGTATTACTTATTTTAGTATATCAAGATAAACTAAATGAAAATGAAAAACTAGCTGAATTTAAAAAGTTTTTTTTTCTTTGTTTTATTTCAAGGAACAAAAATGGTTTTATGGTTTTAATTTTAGTTAACTAAATATACTGGATAATATTTTTTATTTATTTATTTTTTTAGATCTTAGAAGTCTAAAACTGTATATTCGTTATAAAAATGCCAGTGGAGTTATACTATTGTATTCATTTACGTAGTTTTTGTTTTGTTTATGTATATACGGTTTTCATTGATTTTTTGTATTTCAGTATTACTTATTTTAGTATATCAAGATAAACTAAATGAAAATGAAAAACTAGCTGAATTTAAAAAGTTTTTTTTTCTTTGTTTTATTTCAAGGAACAAAAATGGTTTTATGGTTTTAATTTTAGTTAACTAAATATACTGGATAATATTTTTTATTTTTTTAGATCTTAGAAGTCTAAAACTGTATATTCGTTATAAAAATGCCAGTGGAGTTATAATATTGTATTCATTTACGTAAATTTTTCCAGGTCTTTTCAAATGAATCTTCCTGGTATATCCAGGTTTTCTAAGACCGTGAGAATCCTGGTTCTTCAAAGATGAAAACAGTTGTTGACGGTGAATCAAACTCAACAAAGGTCTACTAGTCAGTCAGTGTTTTTAGCAGTGCTGCTGTGATTAGTGTGCTGGCATCGACAGTGTCAGAGGAGCAGCGTCTTTAAATTCACCCCTGACCCCTTGATTGGTTGATTTTGCAATTGTAGTTGATATCAGCTCTCTTTCGCAGTACTCATTACTCGTTTGTAATGTCAGGCACTAGATGCTGATGTGTGTGTGTGTGTGTGTGTGTGTGTGTTAAAGGTTGTCTGCCGTCACACTCGTCCAGGAGTTCATCGGGTTACCAGTGGATATCCGGTCTAACAGCGCTTCAATCCGAACACCCAGACGTCCAGAGCCAAACCCGGCACGTCTTCACACTCCTGCAAAGTAGGAAAATTGCTCTCTTTTCTCTCTTTCTGCGAGATCACAGCATATACGCACGCGTTCGGTGTCGTCTCAGATGTGTTGTGCTGTTTTTACCCTGACGACTGTGAAGAAGTAATGAAGAACGTCGACCGCTGCTTCTGGCCGCTCGTGTGCAGTTCAGCCCATCAAACGCTGACAGCAAATAGGCCTTTGTTCCAAACACGCTTTCATTTTCCCTCTTGTTGTGCTGGCAAAATGCACTTTTAAGAGGTGAGGCGAGGCTCTTTATTCGGCAACCGCTCTTTTCTTCACACGGCTCGTTTGGAGGGACTCCATCCGTCACGGCGAGGACAGACACTTCAAATTAAAGCCGGAGAACGAAAGCGCCTCTCTGGCCGTTTCTATCGCTCGCAGAACTTTTAAAGAGAGGCCTGTAAGAGCAAAGAGAAAAATCTTAAGCAAGAGATGAAAAGCATATTTAATGTCTTTCGTCTTGCATCGCCAAACAGCCTTCACAGCGCTGAGACAATATTAAACAAGTTAATATTTAATGAGCGGCTTTTTTGTGCGCTGAAACGCAAACGCCTGCGAAGGAAAACAAACTTGACGGCGTGTGATATTCTAATGGGCTGTAGCGCCGCTCCGGCTCCTCCATTGTGCCGTGTTTTTAACAGACTGTGTTCATGTTGTGCGTTTACGCCGATTTGAGCCTGAGGTGAGAGTAGAGGATCCTTAGAAGTTCAGCCGCAAACTTCTCTAATGAGATATGAGCAGCTCTATGTTTGACTGACCGGTGTGTGTGTGTGTGCGTGCGTGTGTGTGTGTGCGTTTATGTTTTTCATATACTTTTTATATTTGCTTTTTTTCCAAGTAGTTTGTTTTCTTCTCTATTTTAATCATTAAAATGACTGGTAAACACTTTACAATGAAGTTAAATTGGCTAAACAAGCTACCATTTACTAATTTACTTTATTTATACTAAAATACTAATTTATATATAATGAAGTAATTTTAACAATCCTTTTATAAATAATAATCTTAATGTTAGTTCACGTTGTGCTAATGCCTTATTGTAAAGTGTTAGATTTGGTGATAAATCAAAAGCTGATGTAAAGACAGTGGAAGTCTCTGAGATGTCTTGACTAGTGTGTGTGTGTGTGTGTGCGTGTGTGTGTGTGTGTTGGCAGGGCAGCTGCAGGAGAACGGTCTGCTGATGAAGCACGTGCTTCTGGTTCATCTCTACGTGAGCGAAATGGAGAACTTCAGTCTGATCAACTCCGTGTACTGCACCTACTTCACTCACAATCCTCCAGCCAGGTAACGACGCCTCCGACTGGGATTAACTGCTCACATGATGGGCTTTTAGTGAAATGTGTCTGTCTGTGCAGTAGAAAAATGAAAAAAGTGTACATGAGTTACTGGATAAGAATTTTAGGGAACGCTTTACATGAAACCGTTATACATAATGCTTTATAAAAGTATTTGAATGCAATATTTATGCTTTGTAATGCTCATTGTGTATGATCTCGTAAATAATTGTACCCACAGATTTAACACATCTTAATACTGTAGCGTCTGGACCAATCAGACACACCATTTTTCATTTGATTTAACAAATCAATTATTCATTAGATTAACAAACATTCACAGACCCCTCACCCAATAAACATACTGGGTGCCAAGTTGTCTGTGAACGAGGCCCAGGACCCTGGTTACCATCAACAACGGCATGGTGCAGGTACTTGATTTGCTGTAGTTAGTAAACTTTATTTAACATAGTTTATGCAGCTTGGCTCTAAGAAATAGAGAGTCATGTAAAATAATCCGTCATGTCCTGTCCCAATAAAGATTAGTATGAGAGCCTGTTCTAGTACATCCCCCAAAACAAAATCAAGACTTTGTAAAAGAGCATAATAGGACCCCTTTAAAAACACAGCAAACAACCAATTTCGGATGCAACAAGGAATCTTCAAATATTATATTCTGACTTTGGTTGCAATTATTTATGAAATGCATTATACATAAAGGCTTCAAGTAAAGTGTTACCAATTTATTTTTTTTACACAAGAAAATATTTCAGAGATTGAAATAAATGGAAAAATTTATATTTTTGGTAAATATGCCAATGGAGTTATAACATTGTATTCATTTTCATATATATTATATATTAAAGCTTGTTTTGCCTTATTTTAAATCATTTTAAGGCCCCTTGGTAGTTTTCTGAGGCCCCAAGTTTGAGAACCACTAGTCTAAGCATAGGTCACAAGGGTTGACTAGCAAACAACCAGCTAGCCAATTAAGTGTGATCTACTAGTTTATCTTTTTTGTTTTTCTAATTCACCTCTGGCAAGAAGGGCTTGAAATAAAACTTGGCTGTCCATGCAGTAGAAACACAAAAAATGCGTACACAACTTTTCCAGTTGTTCCTGATTTACTGGATATGTGTTATATTTATTTATACTTACAGTTTATGTCTAGAACTAGAAAAATTTATATTTGTTATAATGCCCATGGAGTTATAACATTTGATTAATTTCCATAAGTGTTCCCGGATCTAAAAATCTCGCTTATAAATCGAGGCTTCCTCATATAGCCAGGTTTCTCAAGACCTTGTGAATCCTGGCTCTTCAAAGACAAAAGCATTGGTTGAAGAGTTTAATTAAAATTAGAAGTATTTAGATTTTAAGTCGTTTTAGCTTATTCTAAAGCTTGTTTTGTCTTCTGTTCAATCATTCATACTGCTGTTTATGTAGTCAAAACCCAAAACATTTTTTAAATTGGTGCTAGATGACGAGAAAACAGAGAAACTGAGCTGTGGCGTGTTTGCCAAAAACTTGACATGTTTTACATCATCTGATGGACAAATGCACAGGTAGATCTGAGTGCAGAGACACATTGTTCATTGACACACACGACCCACATTAGAACAATACTAAACACTTAAGCATGATTATTTTGCTAAAAAATACAATCACGATAATCATGATTACTGCCATTTGAATTTCTCGTCTTATCAGTGCTTGTAGAGAAAGTGTGTGCGAATGGTTGCCAGGTTGGGAGGATTTAGTAAACCACTGGGCAAAAATGTATGAAAACGGCTCTGATTGGGGGATTTAACTCTTGATATCTGGTAACCGCAAGCCAATGAAACCCAAAATTGCGCAAATGGCAAATTAATTGTTATAGGATAAATAATCATTGGGCAAATATTGCAGACTATTATGCTCAGTAAATGGTGAGAAGCAGTAATTATGATCACGATTCATCGTGCAACTCTAAACAGTACAAAGCTGGTTGCTAATCAACAAACCCGTCAGCAGCTGTGTTATTGTGTGATGCAGGGTCTGTGTTCAGGTGTGGCTCCCGGTCTCTCAGCAGCTGCGGATGGACGTTCTGCTTCACGACGGGACGGTGGTCTACGAGGAGGACGCTTTTCCTCAGAGAGGCACGCTTCACGTCCAGAGTCTGTCCGACTGGGCCCCGGCCAACATCGGGCCCTACAGTCAAGCCGTGCAGGTACTGAGCACTCCCTTCATTTGTCCTTTATAAAGGTAGAAAACAAAGCCTGGACGTTTGTGCGTGGGTATGATTGAAGCGCCTGCGATCGCTCTCTATGTTAATCTGTGTTGAATTAGCACACAGTAGGGCTGTCAAATTTTTTTTTGAATTTCGAATATTCGTCGAATTTAAAATAAAAACCCACATTTGAATGCAAAAACATTGCATTTGAATTTTAGGTGTGCGTTAAGGAGGCAGCCTTATCAGCGGCGCACGAGATGCGATGACGATGCATTATAATGTTTTTGTTGGCCTATCCAGCTGAAGCCACTAGATGCGGCGCTGCTGCGTTGTTCATTACAAATATTGCAGGAAAAGAGAACATCAATGCGGAGAAGATCTTGTTTACGTCAAAACTGAAACCAAGCCGTTCACACAGAACACATATTTATCGCATTTTCTAGAGGGACATCTATCACCGCTGCACTCGCGTCTCGCACAAAAGAGCCGCATGTTTAGAAAGCCATGCAAAATTAATGCAAGTTTAACTTTGAAAAAACATATCTCGAGACTTATGGCAGGGTTTTTTCCCATCCCACTGCAACTCGTGTTTGTAATCTGTGTGATTGGCTTTCGGCCCTTTGTATTAAACTATGAATACATACATGATGCTGTTTTGTTTATAGTTGTTTAAGCAACTTAATTAATTATAATTGGTTTATAAACATTAATTTAAACATTATGCAATTTTTGCCACAGATAGTCATGTTATCGTATGCTTTGAATAAACGTGCATTAGTAATATTTTGCTCGATGCGCCCTCTTGTGGCCTCAAGAGAGAAGACAAAAGCTTTTCTTCACCCTAACTGAAATTGATGGTGTTTGTGTCGTGCAGACATCTACCTTTCCCAGGAATAATCTCTGATTCATGCCTATGTTTCATTTAGAGGAGGGAACAGCTGAAGTTAGCCACAGCACATTTGAGGCGTATTCATTATTGTCGCATCTCCTTCCCTTTTTTATGCTGCTGCTTTGAGATCAATAGTCACATGCATCACAACATGAGTCGGAGAAACTGTGTTAATTTAATGACGCTGAGACACTTCTGTAGCTTTGACTCATATTTTGGATTTCGTTTTTGTTTTTATATTTCTTTATTTTTCAGTTTTAGTAATTAAAATTACTAAGACTTTACAGTAAAAAATGATTGTGAGTTATTTTTTCTTGATATATCAATTTTTTTAATTAATTTTTATTTCAGTTTTAATTTTAGATATTTTAGTACATCAAGTTAAGCAATTAAAATTAGAAATTTGTAATAAAATAAGTCAAAAATAAAACAAGTTTTTAATATTTAATTTCAGTTAACATTTATTTCAAATAAAACATTTTTTTATAGTTTCAGTCAAATATGTTAATCCTGCTGAGAAGACACTAGAGTAAAAAAAAAAAAAAAAAAAAAAATTTAAATATCCTTAATTAATATTCTTAATTAATGGAATATTAATAATGAATATTCTTAATTAATTGTTATATTTAGTTCTGAAGTGTCTTTTTAGATGCATATATTGTTATTTATTGAAATGAATTTAATAAAATTAAATTTTAATGTCCAAAACATTAAACAAGAAACATAGTTTTTTTTAATTTATGGTGAAATTTGGTCCCAAACTAGCTAGACCAGACTGAGTTGGTTAAAATGTAACCTAATATACATTTATTTAATAATAATGTCTATTGCTAGAAAAGGGTTTAGCATATTAAACTCATATGATAATGCATAATCTGTATAATATTGAATTTAAATGTGATGTTGTGAAGTTCACAGAACCTCTTGTGCGTGAAACATTAAACATGTTTCATTATCAGGGAGTGTTCTTCGTCTAATTGCCAGAGCGTGTTGATTCTGTTGTGTAATGTGAAGGATCCTGATCAGATTTGGTTTAGTAAATTCGTTAACCTTTGCGTCTGCGAAGCTTCAGGCCCTGAGCGCCATCGTTTAGATGAAATTAAGCGCTCGCTGTGTTTTCTGTTTCCTCAGCTTCACTCTTGATTAGCTCGCGCGGCGAGGTCACGTTTAGCATAATAGTGCCGTGTCCTTAATGAGGAATTCTGGACGTGTGACAGATTCTCTGCCTTCAGACGCGTCTCGCCCTTCTTCTAGATCACTGGATCCCGTGCTGCTGTTTTGATCTTCATGCAAATTGCATTTTATCAAGAAGATTGGAGCATAACAGCTATGATCGCGTGATATCAGACGTTACATTAGGACGGATCGGAGGATTTTACACCTTGCTAATATCGCGAGTCTTCCGGCGTAAGCAGCCAAACGTTTTTCCAAGCGAAGGCGGAAAAATCTATTTTCTCTCATAACGGACGATTAAGCTGGCGTGTTGGCAGATGGTTGGAATTGACCCTTCATTAACCAAAGTGGTCGTTAACAGCAGAGTCGCCGCACACCTTGGTGATTTAATGTTTCCCGCTCCCTAAAATCCCTTCGGAAGAGCGGCAGCAGCTCCAGCTATCGTAATGGAATCCGTAAACAAACAGAAGAGCTGTGTTAAATCACGATCCACACACTACCCTGGGACCTGGCACATGCTGCGCGCTTTAATAATCCAATTTAACATCCGCCTGCATCGTGTAGTCCTGTTAGTCCCAGTTTTGGGAATACGCCCACTCTGTGGGGAGGGTCGCTTTATTCCTCGCGCGGCCTCGCTATTGGATTTGCATTGGGAAAAATCAGAATCCGACGCCCACAATTAGCGTCGAAGAGAGCCTCTGCTGCGGGAACATTGCAGTAATCTTCTTAAAAGTGGGCTAATCGATTAAAACAATGAGCTGGGATTCTCCAGCATCCCTGCCTGTAATCTGTGCTCATGAATGAATGTGGAGGGACAGCTGCGTCTGGGGCTCAGATAACGAGCCGTGAATGAACACAGTCCTCTGATTAACTGCAGATCTATGAGCTCAGTCCTGTGATTAGAGGCCGGATGCTTTTATATCTGATGCATTCACCGCCGCTCAGAGTTTGGAGTCATTGAAGTTTTTCTGCTCACTGAAGTTGCATTTATTTGATGAAAAATACAGTAAAATAATGCAATTTAAAATAGCTCGCCGTTTTTATTAGTTAACATTTTTTTCTTGATATATCTATATTTTTTATTCATTTTTATTTCAGTTTTAATTTGAGTTATTTTAACACACCAAGTTAAACTAAATTAAAATGAGATTTTTTAAATATTTATATTAATGAAAAGTTGTCTTTTTTTTTAAGTTAACATTTTATTTCAAGTAACTTTTTTATGGTTTTGTAGTTTAACTGTAATAACCCTGCTGAGAAGACACTTTAGAGTTAAAAAAAATATTAAGTATTAAATAAATATTAAAAAATACATTTAATTAAAAAATTTTTTTACTTTTTTTTTAATTCTGAAGATGCATATACTGTTCTTCATTGAATTTAATTGAGTGTATTAATATGCTGATTTGCTGCTCAAGAAACATTTCTGATTATTATCAATGTTGAACACAGTTGTGCTGCACAATATTTCTGTGGAAACTGTGATACATTTTATTTTTCAGGATTCACAGATGAATAGAAAGTTCAAAAGAACAGAACTTATTTGAAAATGTATCTTTACTGTCACTTTTGATCAATTTAATGCATCCTTGATGAACACATTTTTTTTTTTTTACCTTATTTAGTTTCCACAAGAATATTTGGCAACACAACTGTTTTGAACATTGATAATAATCAGAAATGTTTTGCGTGGAAGCCGCTTCATTTAGCAGATGCAGGAGGTGTGTTGTGTCCAGATTAATTAGAGCAGTTAAGTTAGTTAGTTAGTAGCGCAGCTAAACGAGCGGCGTCTCTGAGGAGGATGGTCTCCCTTCACCATAATCTATTAAAGCGACGCTTTTATCTCACCTCGTCCTTGTCATATTTTATGGATTTTTTCATAAACACTGCCTATACTTCATAAATGTCTCAATTTTCTAGTCTATTAAGATTACTTGAGAAGCAGTTGATAAAAGAGGCAGGCAAGCATGAAATAATGCCCCAGTAATATGCAGCGCTGCAGGCGCGAGCCGGCGCTCAAACGATGCTCGGATGCTATCAGCGCTAATAAAAGAGCCTCACAGCAATTGAGCTGAAGAAACATGAGCTCTTCTACTGTCCTGCTTCCATCTGCTTCACCAGAGCAGCGTTCGCCTTCATCACCATCACCATCATCATCATCACAAGTGCCATCTGATATGATTCACCAGATTCAATCCATATCTTAATATATTGTCTGTGAATAAAATTAAACTACATTAAAAAATGCATCTGAGACTAAATGTTGTTGCAGACACGAGAAGTCTAGCTACAAATAATCAAGGCATGTTTTAAACATGGAAGAATGATTTTGAATCATTTAATATTTTAATGTATCATTTCATATTACTGTTACATTAATATTGTTTTATTTTTTTAACATTTAATAATGATGTGCACCCGTCTAACAATACCTAGAAAAGCAAATATCTATTTTCATCTGAGACTAAATGTTGTTGCAGACATGAGAAGTCTAGCTACAAATAATCAAGGCATGTTTTAAACATGGAAGAATGATTTTGAATCATTTAATATTTTAATGTATCATTTCATATTACTGTTACATTAATATTGTTTTATTTTTTTAACATTTAAAAATGATGTGCACCCGTCTAACAATACCTAGAAAAGCAAATATCTATATATTTTTTTTTTTACAATATTTAATATGTTTCTTAATATTGTCTGTAAATAAAATTGAAACTACATGAAAAAAAAAGTTGTTGAAAACACACAAAAAAAATAATTCTAGTAGAATAATACTGTAGCTACAAATATGTTTTAAACTGAATGTATGGAAGAATGATATATAATCATTTAACATTTTATTAAATTATTTCATATTACTAATATATTGATATTATTATTTTTTTATTTTTTTATTTACTAATTACATGCACCAATTTAAAAATACCTG